GGCTGGAGCTGTTCCTATTCGGCCATCTTGCTCTGGGACCTGACAAACATCATTTCTTATACTACAATGAGATGTCCTCATTTGGCTCTGCCATACTTTATTTAGCCTTTCTTTGGTAATCTCTAATATGTAGTCTTTTTTTTCCTATCATTGCCATGTTCCTTACACTGGACAATTTCAGGTGTAGTTCAAGTCATAAAAGGATTTTCAGTTAATTATGTTATATTTAAACTCACATCGAATGGGTTTTTTTAAAGAAAAAAAAACCCTAGATCTCAAAGATGGTTTTGTCATCAGCACATTCTGTGTTGAGCTTTCAGCCAACTACTTAATCTATGCTTAGCTTAAAAATAAGATTTGGCTGGGTGCTGTGGCGTATGCCTGTAATTGCAGCACTTTGGGAGCTGAGACAGGTGGATCACTTGAGCTCAGGAGTTCAAGACCAACCTGGGCAACAAGGCAAAACCTTTTCTATTTTTTAAAAAATAAGATTTGACATTGTTGTGGTGTAAGTTTTTCACAGAATATGAAATTTGAAAATTTGAGTAGTATTTGGTAATGTTCAGTGTTTTAAGCCTTTTGAGTTGTAATAAGTATTTGTTAAATCAGTGTACCATTACAAGAGTTTTACATTGCCTTTGAAGTAGGCAGTAATAGAAAAATAATGTATGTACTAAACTACACAGTATTTTTTATTCTTTCAACAAATATTTCTTGATATTACTATATGCCAGATACTACATCAGGTAACTGGAATATAGTATGGAATAAAGTAGTCAAGTCTCTGCTCTCATAGAGTATCTGGGGTAAGGGGAAGGGTTTGGAGAGACAATAAATATAAAGAATGTGCATTATATCAGATGGATAAATGCACTGAAGGAAAATATAGCAAGGTAAGAGAGTAGAGTGATGAAAGAAGTTCAATTTTAGATATTTAAGAAAAATGAGACCATGGCAGTTGGAGGAATGGCAGTGATCACACGTTGGCTGCTGGGAAGATCTGAATTCTTGTGTCAGGTCATCATCAGAAAAGCTAAGTTTGCTGTATATTGAGGATCAAGAGATCTGATCCTGATTGCAGAACCTTCCCTGATTACAGAATCTTGGGTTGTATCTCCCACTTCACCCTTCTAGACCATCCCAGAAGATCTATAAGATTTCATCTGGGAAATCACTAGGAGTTCTTGGAAGGGAAAGAAGGAAGATTGTTGGTTGGAATAAAAACAAGGTTGAATGAATTCCAGAAAGCAGGATTCTTAACCTCGTGGACAGCAATCTGCAGAAGAAGAGAACTTCAGAAAACAAACTCGAAGCAACATGCAGAGAAGTAAGATGAGAGGGGTCTCCTCGGGAAAGAAGACCGCTGGTTCACAGCAGAAAAATCTTGAACCAGCTCTCCCAGGAAGATGAGGGGGTCGCTCTGTAGAGAACCCCCTTCAGGATCCATGAGAAAGACTAGAAAGAACAAACAGAAGACTCCTGGAAACAGAGATGGTGGCAGTACCAGCGAAGCACCTCAGCCCCCTCAGAAAAAAAGGGCCCGGGCAGACTGTTGAAAGTGAGGAGGCGTTTAAGAATAGAATGGGGGTTAAAGTGAAGATTCCTGAAGAATTAAAACTATGGCTTATTGAGGACTGGGACTTAGTAACCAGACAGAAGCAGCTGTTTCAACTCCCTGCTAAGAAAAATGTAGATGCAATTCTGGAGGAGTATGCAAATTGCAAGAAGTCACAGGCAAATGTTGATAATAAGGAATATGCAGTTAATGAAGTTGTGGCAGGAATAAAAGAATATTTCTTTTTTTCTTTCTTTCTTTCTTTTTTTTTTTTGAGACGGTGTCTTGCTCTGTTGCCCAGGCCAGAGTGCAGTGGTGCGATCTCGGCTCACTGCAAGCTCCGCCTACCGGGTTCATGCCATTCTTCTGCCTCAGCCTCCTGAGTAGCTGGGACTACAGGCACCCACCACCACGCCCAGCTAATTTTTTTGTATTTTTAGTAGTGACGGGGTTTCACGTGTTAACCAGGATGGTCTCAATCTCCTGACCTCATGATCCACCCTCCTCGGCCTCCCAAAGTGCTGGGATTACAGGCGTGAGCCACCGTGCCCAACCCAGAAATAAAAGAATATTTCAATGTGATGTTGGGCACTCAGCTGCTCTACAAATTTGAGAGGCCCCAGTATCCTGAAATCCTCTTGGCTCACCCTGATGCTCCAATGTCTCAGGTTTATGGAGCCCCACACCTACTGAGATTATTTGTAAGAACTGGAGCAATGTTGGCCTATAGGCGCCTTGATGAGAAAAGCCTTGCATTATTGTTGGGCTATTTGCATGATTTCCTAAAATATCTGGCAAAGAATTCTGCATCTCTCTTTACTGCCAGTGATTACAAGGTGGCTTCTGCTGAGTACCACCGCAAAGCCCTGTGAGCGTCTACAGACAGCTCACCATTTTTGTCCTGTATCTGTAAACACTTTTTGTTCTTAGTCTTTTTCTTGTAAAATTGATGTTCTTTAAAATCGTTAATGTATAACAGCGCTTATGTTTCAGTTTTTTTCTGTTCTGTTTTAAACAGAAAATAAAAGGAGCATAAGCTCCTTTTCTCATTTCAAAGTTGCTACCAGTGTATGCAGTAATTAGAACAAAGAAGAAACAGTAGAACATTTTATTGCCTAGTTGACAACATTGCTTGAATGCTGGTGGTTCCTATCCCTTTGACACTACACAATTTTCTAATATGTGTTAATGCTATGTGACAAAACGCCCTGATTCCTAGTGCCAAAGGTTCAACTTAATGTATATACCTGAAAACCCATGCATTTGTGCTCTTTTTTTTTTTATGGTGCTTGAAGTAAAACAGCCCATCCTCTGCAAGTCCATCTATGTTGTTCTTAATCATTCTATCTTTGCTCAAATTGTTGAAGGATGGTGATTTGTTTCATGGTTTTTGTGTTTGAGACTAATGCACGTTCTAACATGATAGAGGCAATGCATTATTGTGTAGCCACGGTTTTCTGGAAAAGTTGATATTTTAGAAATTGTATTTCAGATCTTAAATAAAATTTGTTTCTAAATTTCAAAAAAAAAAAAAAGAAAGATGAAAATATTGATAGTTGAAATAGAATCTGTTTACCAATATAAAGAAATAGTGAAGATAATTGTTAAATGTGATTTTTGTGATATTTCATGTAGGAGTATTTTGTATATAAATTTAAATTTAACGCTTTAAAGTACTGAAACTTTCTTTTCTGTTCTAAATAGTTAAAGATGTTTGTTGATTTGAAGTATTTTATTGGTTCTCCCTTGTTTTGTTATTTATTTATTTATTTATTTTTGAGACAGAGTTTTGCTCTTGTAGCGCAGGCTTGAGTGCAATGGCAGGATATCGGCTCACTGCAACCTCCGCCTTCCAGGTTCAAGCGATTCTCCTGCCTCAGCCTCCCGAGTAGCTGGGATTACAGGCACCCGTTACCATGCCTGGCTAATTTTTGTATTTTTAGTAAAGACGAGGTTTCACCATATTGGCCCAGGCTGGTCTCGAACTCCTGACCTCAGGTGATCCACCTGCCTTGGCCTCCCAAAGTGCTGGGATTACAGGTATGAGCCACTGCCCCTTATTGTATTTTGTTGGGTTGCATCACAATCTTGATTCTCTATGTTAGGATATTAATCAATTCCTTGGAATATTGTAGTATGTAGGTAAACAAAAGTCTAACATTGATTTTACAAAGGTGAAAAGTTCATATTGCCTTTGATTAGTAAATTTTTTTAAGTATAGAGAGATCAAATTTTTAAATTTTAAAATAGAGACTTTAAATCTCTATACTCTTTTTTGAGTAGAGAGATATCAGATAAACTATTCGCTGATGACTGTATCATAAAATTAAGAATGTTTTCACATGTATGTCTTTATTCAATAGTCTGATAAATTTTCTGCATATAAAATAGTAGAAAAATTAAAAATGAGAATTTATTAAAGTAAGTTTAAAGATTTATGTAGATAAATGGGAAGTGATAAATACATTTTGTGAAGCAGTAAGAATTTCATGAAAGTTGAGTTGTTAGGCAAAATTAACACAAAAGAAAAATACTGTTTCAAAAAACAAAAGGTTACTTTTAAATGATCTCTTTCCATTTTTCTCTTTCCTCTCTTTTAGAAAATCTTAAATTGTAGAGGATAAATAATCTTAGAAAAATGTATTTTACCAAGTATCTAATATCTTAGGATTTAGTCAACAGCTTATTTGCATAAACTATTCTGTTAGGACTTATTAAGAAACTCTAAATGACACTATATTAAAACTGTTGACATCTAAAATAAGAACTTCTTAACTTGTAATATTGTAAGAACTAGTATAATTTTCGTTAAGTTTTTGAAAATACAAGGTATGTGAAATTTTTTAAGTGTGCTTTAAAAAATAAAATATAAGTACTTGAGGATAGGAATTACTCTTTTAATCTTATTCATAGTCCAATGTGAAGCATGACATTTCTCCAAAGAGTTTATTAATGTATTAATGTACTAATAAATATTCATATGAAATTTCCAAATGTCATTTCCCATGTTAATGATGCATTTTAACCTTCTTTTCACTTTATAGATATGGTCCAGACCTGTACATGAATAACTTTGGTTAGTGAGAGTGAAATATCCAATAATGAGTGGTGCAGCTTTGGGACTTGAGATTGTTTTTGTCTTTTTTCTGGCATTATTTCTACTTCATCGATATGGAGACTTTAAGAAACAGCATAGACTTGTAATTATTGGAACACTGCTTGCTTGGTATCTCTGCTTTCTTATTGTCTTCATACTGCCTCTGGATGTTAGTACGGTAAGGAGTGAACTTTATTTTCACAATTTAAAAGACAAATTTTAATCATACAGCATGTTGGAAATAATGTTTATTCTTAAGACAGCTAAATTATGACAGTTTGTACTTATATTTTGAATTAAAAGATTATATGGTCATTTGAACATTAAAAAGCATAGCCAAGGGCTGGGAACCATGGCTCACGCCTGTAATCCCAGCACTTTGAGAGGCTGAGGCGGGCGGATCACGAGGTTGGGAGATCGAGACCATCCTGGCTAACATGGTGAAACCCTGCCTCTACTAAAAATACAAAAAAATTAGCCGGACATAGTGGCAGATGCCTGTAGTCCCAGCTACTCAGGAGGCTGAGGCAGGAGAATGGCGTGAACCCGGGAGGCAGAGCTTGCAGTGAGCTGAGATCGCACCACTGCACTCCAGCCTGGGTGACAGAGCAAGACTCTGTCTCAAAAGAAAAGAAAAAGAAAAGCATAGCCAGGAAGGTAAGTTTAGATAGATAGATTTATAAACTCTGATGTCCTTTAAATACTTGGTGTAACGTTTTGATTCTCATTTTTAAACCATACGTTCATTGCTTTAGACAATATATAACCGGTGCAAGCATGCTGCTGCAAATTCAAGCCCTCCTGAGAATAGCAACATTACAGGATTGTACGCAACTGCTAACCCTGTTCCAAGGTATTTCCTTTTTTAAAAAATATATAAATATTGTAGGGGACACATTGTTTAAAAATGAAAGTTTTTACCATCCAGATTTTATATTGATGTAAGTTATCCTCATTCTCTATTAATTCCCTCCACCTCTATTCTTTCCTAGTAGACTTTTCATTACATCATATTCTAATTAAATCTAATTTTTTAAATATTTATTGGTCCACAAAGCCCTTCAGTAGATGGTAGTAAGAAACTTGAAGAAGTCCTGACTTTTCAGTCCTGGTTCTTCTTTACCAAGTATGTAATTTCTAAAACCTGTTTTTCCTCTCAGCCTATCTCAGATTTAAAAACGTGGGATGTATTTTCACTTTTGCCTAATTTACAAGGTTATAATAAAGTACAAGTATTTCTGTACTTGTGGTATTCCTTTCATATTGCACATCCTTCAAAAGCATTATAGATTTACATAAAAAAATGAATAAAGTTCAAATTGTCCAAAGATTATATTGAATTCAAATATCGAATTTTTAAGTAAAAAGCTTATATATGTTGACTATAGACTTTATGAATGCTTTCAGTAGTATTTGCATGCTTCTTTATGCATATTTTTAAAAAATCTAACTTGAGAAAAGGTAAATTTAAAATGCAGGTGTTACTTCCATTTAAAGCACTATTAAAAAAAACTGGATAAATATCAGCAGCAGCTACAGATTGTTGCAAGTTCTTGGGATATCCTTCTAGCTTAGGAATATGGCTACATGGCAGAATTTATGATCAGAGACTCATGTCTTCAGAAATTTAAACAGAATTATGTATAGATACTAGCATGCATCTCCATAGAAGCTATGTTATAGTGAGTGATTTAATTAGCATTCCAATTTTCAGGAATCAATCACCTAATGTTTTCCCCTCCCAATCCCTATAACCTGGAAAAAAAAAAAAAACCCAACCTATGAATGGGTTGTGTATTTTAAAGGTAATCATTAGAAATTTTATTTCATAATACATTTGCTTTTAATGATTGTTGCACTTTTAGTCTATTAGTTGAACATTAAGTTTTCTTTTTACCCAATGACTAAAAATACACTGAAAGTTGAAAACTTAAATGACATTTTCAGAAAAAACTATTTTGTTGCTTTTGTGTGTTTTTTTCTTTTGGCAGTCAACATTGAATTTTAAAATTTCTGTGAAATTTTATGAGTTATTGATTATTAGAGTCAATAATTTAAAATCTGAATGTAAATTAACTTGGCCACATGCAAATTAACTGTATAATTCATTTAAATAATTATTTATGATTAATTGGCTTTAACTTTTATTCAACAGCCAGCATCCTTGTTTCAAGCCATGGAGTTACATTCCTGATGGAATCATGCCAATTTTCTGGAGGGTAGTGTATTGGACATCACAATTTTTAACATGGTAAGTTACAGTAAAGGATAACATTTTTCAATCAATATAGTTTGGAATTTATTTATGTGTCATTTTTTTCCTTAAATCTCTATCCTCTCCCTTTCTGCTCTCTCAAGTGTGTCCTATCTTACAGAAAAAAGAAAAAGAAAAAAAAACACACAAATAGAAAATAGAAAACAGAAACACAGTTTTTGTTGTTATTGTTTCCTTTCAGTTGTTGCCTTCTCTTTTGCCCTTCAGTCCAATTGTTCTTCCAGCCACATTATTACATGAAACTGCCCTTGCTAAAGTCATATACTCTGGTTTTCTTTCTGTCTGCTTTCCCCAACCTTCTGATTTCCTTTATGAGTGCCATTTCTGTTGTCCATTTTCTAAATGTTGATCTTGCCTAGAGTCCTATCTTGGTCATCTTGTCAGACTTCCCTGCATAGCTGTAATTATAGCCATGGTTTCATTGACCAATAATGCATTCTGAATCTTTCTACCCATTATTTTTATCTTTCTGCTGTGCTCCAAACTCATACTTATCCACTTGCCTGCTAAGCATCTCTTAGATCTGCAAACAACTGCACTCTAAAACTGGAGGTACTGAACATTGCAAGAGAAAAATTACATAGCAGAGTAGTGCTCTTGTAAAATCATGTCTATTAAATTCAACTGAGCTCTCAACATTACTAGACTTTCCTTCTTTGTATTTTTAGTTTGCTTTCTTTCCATTTTCTACAAGAAATATTTCCACTCACTTCAAATTTCTGTCCTCTTTATGGCTTTCTCTCTTGTACTCCCTAACAACAATAATCATCTTTACTCTTAGCCTCTTGGCAGATGACTACTTTCCATCTAACTGTTAAAACAGGAGTCATCAGATGGCAGCTCTTTCAGCTTCTCACCAACAAATCTACATACCTATCCATCTTTTTTTTATTTCCCCTCCAAAGATAGAAGAGTCATGCTTGTTAAAGCCAATCCTGTCACAGGATCCTTAGGGGTGTTGTTTTGCCAGCTGGAAACCTCTATGGCCAGTAGCACCTTTGCCCGAATTTTACTCAGGCCCACTGAGCTTATTCTACTCACTCAGCCTGGCAGGTTGCACTCAGCTCATGCTACTGGCTCTGATCTCATGCCTCCCAAGGGCGAGCCAGGCGTGGAGTGGTGAGGGGTGTGTGAGTGAGTGAGCGTGGGATCCAGCCACTGAGCACAGCCAGACATGCTGACTGCTGTGGCAGGGTGGGCAGCTCCAGGCACCAGCACAGGTCTCGGCTCTGTGCAAGCCTGTGGCTGGGTCAAATACACTGCAAGCAGCTTCTGCTGTGGGCACCTGCATCTGGATGAGGGGAATGTAGTGGTACTCAGAAGCTTGGAGATGCCAGAAACCTCAGAGCTCCAAAGAGGGTGTCACAGACCTGGCTTGGGGAGTCCCCAGATCTGGGCTTCTGGAAGGGCCACAGTTCTTCTCTTCTCATCACTTGCAACATGGCAAGTGGCAGGGGCATGTTTCAGCCCTGTTTATGTTTCAGCTCCTTCAGTTCTGCCATTCAGCAGGTCCTGAGTTCTTGTCCTACGTCCAGGAAGAATAAGGTATGTGGAAAACTGGAGGGTGAGCAAGGCGAAGAGGTGCTTTATTGAGTGATAGTACAACTCTCAGGAGACCCAAAGTAGATAGCTCCTTTCTGCAGGCAGGTCATCCTGACAAGTACAGCTCTCAGTGGAAAGGAGCCCCGGAGTGGGTAGCTCCTACCTGCAGGCAGGTTATCTCAATCGTCTGTGCAGCCCCCAGCAGAGAGGAGACCTGGAGTAGATAGCTCCTATCTGTAGTCAGGTTGTCCTGTCATCTGCCTGAGTCTGGCTGAGTCTGGGGTTTTTATGGGCTTCAGAGAGGAGGAAGTGTGCACTGATTGGGCCATGGGTGGGCCTGGAAAAAGCATCCTAAGTTCTCACTGTGGTCCACAGGACTGGTGGCCTGGCCCCCAGGCTTCAGGCTGTCCCTGGCTTGAAGGTGGTGCTTCACCAGTGACCTGCCCACTTCTGCCCAGGAGCCTGTCTGCCTCCTGCCACCATCAATCATGTCATTTATGGCACCCAGGCTGTTCATGCCAAATGGTGCCTGCAGGCCCATGCTGAGCTGCCCTCAGCCCCACTCTCCACCTCCCTCCTGTGCTTATTGATGTCCAAAGTCTAGAGTGGGCTGAGGCAGCAGGGGTCTGGTGTGTCAGCACTGCCCTGAGCATGTGTGCACACCCAGCTAGGTTGCAACAGTGCCTGGATTCAGTCACAACTTTTCTCCAAAATCAGAGCAGTTGTCAGGAGCAGGGAGAGGCCAGGCAGCAGGAGCAGGGACTTCCAAACCTGTAGTGGTATGGGGGCTTTCTGGGTCCCCGAGAGTGCAGGGATGCCTGGGTCCACAGCCACAGCTGGGCAGCTGCACCTGTGCCCAAGAGGGCAGGGCTCCTGCCCCACCAACTCAGAAGAGGGTGGGGCTCCCACCTCCTGCTAGCTCCATGGAGTGCACAGCCCCCGCCAGTCCTGCCCCACTGCGGCCACCATCTTTGCAGGGGGCCACTGCAGACAGGCCGCTGCTGCCATCACTTCTTCCTAAAATATGGATCCATCCCCTTCAGCTCTTGTTACTTACTTGTAGCTTTCAATTTCAACAAAGCATGCACATTTCTCTCATCTTTAGAAAAGAAAACAGAAACAAAAATGAAAGTCTGTCAGTTCAGATTCCTTTCCAGCTTTTGCCTTGTTGATCTGATCACAACTAAATTTTTTTAGAAACTTTTTAAAACTGAAGCATAAATTCATACCGGAAAATGCATAGATTGTGTTTAGTTTGACTTTTTTCAAAGTGAATACACCCATACACCAGCACTCAGATGATGTTATAGAACATTAACAATGCCCTCAGAAGCCTCGCTCATGCTTCCCTGTGTAGTCGTCCCGCACTCCCCAGAGGTAACCATGATTCTGACTTCCATCACCATAGATTAGTTTTTGCCTGTTTATGAACTTTATAAGCATAGAATTATACACTGTCAACTTTTTCGCATCTCTCTTTGCTCACATATTTGGGAAATTCATCTATGCTGTGCTGTATGTATCAGTATTCTCTTATTTTCCATTTCTGTAAAATACCCCATTGTATGTATATGCCATAGTTTATCCTACCCAGCCAAACTTCTTAAATGAATTCTCTATATTTGATATTCCACTTGCTCATTGTTTACTTATTTCTCAACCATAGTACTCTGCTTTCTATTCTCACTCCTCTACTCATACATACAGGTTTTTAATTTACTTCACCTCTTGGTGGCATTTGATTCTCTCTCTCCACTTTAACTTTCCTCTCCTAGTTCCTAACCCATATGCTCCTTGGTTTTCTTCCTTGCCCCACTATTGTTCTGTCTCAGTCTCTTTTGCTGGTCCATCCTCCTTCTGTTTTCTACGTCTCTCTTAAAAGTTGATATGAGATCTGTCTCAGTTCTTTCCTTCACATTCTCCATACTCATGCTTCCAGTTGAGTTTCTACTGATGTTATTTCAGTGCCGTTGATACAGTGATGACTCCGGAAGCTATCCATATTTTTAGTCCTCTCTCTTGAACCCTGAAGCTGGGTTTGTGTGCAGCTCCTCTTGGATGTCTCCTAGGTACTACTTCAAAGTCAGTATGCTGTCAACTGACCTTCTCCCTTTTTGCTTCTTACCACCATCACCACCCTTCCCCCTCCCAACTAGTTCCAATTTTGTTTCCCTTTTATCCTTTCTCCATGCTGAAGCCTTAGAAAACTAAAATTTGATCAAAAATGTTTTCTTTGAATGCAGTCCAGACTCTTTATAAAAGCTTTAAAGACCCATTTGCTTTCCCTAAAATTTTATGTTACAAAAATACTCAGTCATCTATTATCGTATATTAAGTATTCATGATTACTTATAAACATATTTATCAGTGAGAAGAACTATTCATTAAAATGGAGATTCCCATATTTCTGACATTTTGAGATTATATAGACATATCAGTTGTTTGGGTTTTTAATCATATTTTTTCTATCCATTTAGGATTCTCTTACCTTTTATGCAGTCATATGCAAGATCAGGAGGGTTTTCCATCACTGGAAAGATCAAAACTGCACTAATTGAGAATGCAATCTACTATGGCACCTATTTGCTGATTTTTGGAGCATTTTTAATTTATGTAGCTGTAAACCCACATTTACATTTAGAATGGTAAGAAAAGTAGTCTTCTTAACATTGCTTTAATGTATGTTTGCATTTTTAAAAATTCATTTTTAACTTCATATGTGCCGGTAAAAAGACATTTCATTGAGAAATGTATTGTTACATATTTTATGGATTTCCCTAAAAGAATATGTGAATAATCCATATTACTAAGAAAGAAAATATGGAATGACATCTTTAAATATAGATTTTAGGCAAAAGATTAATGATTAGTCTAATGGCTATATATTAAAATTAATAACCCTTATGATTTTTGGATAGAATTTCAAAATTTTTATATGATAAAATAACTGGTTTTATTTTTCATTGGAACTTGTGTGTTTTTTGTTTTGATTATAATTTGAGGGCATATTTGTTCTTAATGTTATCTTGGATTTAGATATTTCAATAAAATTGAAATCTGTTTTATACTTATGATTTCTAACATATGTGAAGGTCTACATCTGAAAATTTAGAAATAGATCAGCAGTGCTAGGTCTCACTATTGTATTCCTGAGATTTGCTAGGTCAGCAACACAAGTTAATTTGAAACATTTTCAGGCTTCTTTTGTTCAATATAGAAAAAGAAATCACCTAATGAAAAATGTTTCCTCTAGGAAAATACATACATATTATTGCCATGAATTAATTCTAGATGCTAATTTTAACACAGTAGAAACAGTGTCTCCTGTGTTAAAGTCTATTTATGCAGTCACATTTTATCTTTCCATTAAAATGTACATATTATCTGTTATTTCCCTTTCTTAGGAACCAGCTTCAGACAATTGGGATAGCTGCTGCAAATACATGGGGTCTGTTTCTTCTTGTGTTGTTGTTGGGTTATGGCTTGGTAGAAATTCCTCGATCCTACTGGAATGGAGCAAAAAGGGGTTATCTACTTATGAAAACGTATTTTAAGGCAGCCAAACTGATGACAGAGAAAGCAGATGCAGAAGAGAATTTAGAAGATGCCATGGAGGTAAGCAAGTTTGAACCTTATAAGCAATAGTCACTAAGGCATGTGTATCCCCTTTTAGTCACTTTTGGTTTGTTGTTGTTAGTGCATTGATGGGCTTCAGATTGCAAAACTGGTGTTGTGCAATCCTTCAGGATGTCTCATCCAGGATGACTTTTTAGCAGTTCAGCCTCATGATGTGTCTTGTCCATCTTCTGTCTGACAGGGATTCATGGAAAATATATTCAATAGTGCAGGGCTATGCCTATTATTTTAAGGTAACTTTTAGTAGTACCCTCTTTTATTTTCAAAAGTCTCCCAGATTAAATGATAAATTGTATGGTTACCCTAACATAATAGAAGTGAGAATAATGACCAGAGGACACTTATTTCTGAAAGGTTAACCTAAGGTAATACCACCAATTCTGGAAACCTCTTTAAAGAACAATTTGCATGGGAGTTTGTATTGATAAGTTTTGTTTCCTATCTGTAATCTTAATAAGACACTTCATTTTACTCGATGACTTAACCCAGTTTCACAAAGTTATTGAAAGTATACCTTTCAATACTGTACATAAAAATATATAACAAATTATAAAATTTTTCTGTGTTAAGTAAAAATTTTGTTATGGATTTAAAAAGATTATTGTAGTCACCTCACAGTTTTGCTCACCAGGGAAAATATGCTACTCAGCTGATGATACTCTCCAAATTAAAACTCCTTTTGAAGGCTTTTCAGTCATGTTAAAATAAACTCCAAAATGTTATAATGCAGCCTACAGAAAAATAATTTGGCCTATGTTTAGCTCTCCAGCTGTATCCCAAACCTCTGTCTTCTCACACTGGTCATCTTTGGTTTCTCAAACTTACTAATGGTGATGAAATAATAAACAATTCTATAGACTTAATATTTACCTAACACTCAACTTTGGTTCCTCAAACTTAGCAATGGTGATAATTATAGTAAACAATTATATAGACTTACTGTTTGCCTAAGAGGGACTTTCTAAGCACTATACATATATTTAATTCCCATGACTTTATGATAGAGATTTTTGTAAATCCCCATTCTATAAATGAAGAATATGAGGCACAGAGAGATTAAGTAACTTTCTCATGTCTACATGGCTAGGAAGTGATAAGAACCAGGCAGTCTTGCCTCTAACAGGGACTGACAAACTTTTTCTGTAAAGGGCCAGATAGTAAATATTTTAGGCTTTGTGTGCAATATCGTTTCTATCACAACTACTCTGTCCTTGTAGGATGAAAGCAGCCATAGCCAGTAAATAAATGAATGAGTGTGGGTGTGTTCCAGTATGAGAACAAGTAGTGGACTGAATTGATCTTGCTTGATGACCCTGTGCTTAATCATTACACACATTGTCTTTCTTTTCTATCTTTGAGCATGCTATTCCCAAACTATTATAATGCGCTTTTCAGCACTCTCTTCAGCTAATTCCTATTTCATTTTCAGGTCTTAACATAAATGAGAATTCTTCAGGGAAGCTTTATTAGCTTCCTAGAACTGCTATAACAAAGCTACCACAAACTGGGTGGCTTAAACAATAGAAAATATTGGCTCACAGTTCTGGAGACTAACGTTCAATATTGAGGCATCTGCAGGGTTAGTTCCTTCTGAGGGCTCTAGGGAATATCTGTTCCATGTTTGTCTTCTAGCTTCTGGTGGTTTGCGATCTTTGGCATACCTTGACTTGTAGACCCCTGCCTTCATCTTCACATGGTGTTCTCCCTGTGTGCCTGTGTCCAAACTTCATTGTTTTGTAAGGACACCAGTTATATTGGATTAGGGTTCATCCCACTCCAGTATAACCTCATCTTAACTTAGCTAATTAAATCTGCAACAACCCTATTTCAAATAAGATCGCATGTTAAGATACTGGAGGTTAGGTCTCAGGGGACACAGTTCAACCCGTAACATCTTCCCTGGTTGTCCAGACTCTTAAACACTCAGCAACCATTTTTTAAGTGAATGAATAAATGAACAAATGAATGTATACTGTGATTAGAAAATTTTATGTTGGCTTTGCAGCATTTATTCTCTACAGAATGTAAGAACTACAGCAGAAAATACTGATTTAAATGTAGGAGTGAGTCTATAAATAGTATTATTTAAATTGAAATGATTAAATTTCCTGTTATATTCAACATTCCTATGATGAATGTTATTACATCTTTTGAAAGAAGATAATTTATATTTGATAAATTTTACATTTATATTTGAAATTTTGAATTTTTTAAAAAATTGAAATAATTGAAAACTGGTATTTCGATAAGATATATTTGATAAAAGAAATTAATTTAAATTTAAATTTGATAGTATTCCATCCAAAAGTTGGTATTAAATTCAGTTGTTTCAGATTTGAGGAATTTGGATTTCACTAATTTATTCAACGTTCCTGCAAAAAAATAAACACAGGTATTATGTGAGTTATGGATTTTTCCCTAGACGAAACTTTGCTGTCTGAATAAAATACATTTTGTTGTTGTTATTTTTAAATAGGAGCCCTCTGCTTAGAAATAAGATGTGGAAAATTAAGGACCGGCATTGGTGACTTCTGTGCTATTTTAGTATAGTATTCTTAGGTTTTAAGCTGTGTAAGAAATTTTAGATAAGAAACCACTCTTTAAAAATGAATGTTTTGAAAATAGCAGTAGGTACACATAGACAGCAAGATAACTCTGAACCTCTTTCCATCAAAAACAATGTATGATTTCTCAGGTATGAATTTCTTTTTTGTTTGTTTTTCTGGGGTTTTAAAACGTTTTTGTACATACTCATCACCTCAAGCATTTACTTTTCTTTATGTTACAAACAATCTGATTATTTTCATTTAGTTATTAAAATGTACAATTACATTATTGACTGTAGTCACCCTGTTCTATCAAACACTGGATATTATTCACTCTAGCTATATTTTTGTATCCATTACCATTCCCACTTCCCACCCTCCCTTCTACCCATAACCCCTCCCAGCCCCATAAATAAATGGGAACATGTGAAGTTTGTCTTTCTGTGCCTGACTTATTTCACTTAACATAGTGACCTCTAGCTCCACCCATATTATTGCAAATGACTGGATCTCATTCCGATTTAATGGCTGAATAGTCCTCTGTTGTGTATATGTACCACATTTTCTTTATCCATTCATATGTTGATGGACACTTAGGTTGCTTCTAAATCTTGGCTATTGTGAGTACTGCTGCAATAAACATAGGAGTACAGACATTTCTTTGATATAATGATTTCCTTGTTTTGGTTATATACCTAGCAGTGTAATTGCTGGAACACATAGTAGCTTTTTTTTTTTTTTAATTTTTTTGAGGAGCCTGCAAACTGTTCTGCATAGTAGTTGTACTAATTTACATTACATTATTGCCTGTATTTTGGATAAAACCCATTTTAACCGGGGTGAGGTGATATCTCATTGTAGCTTTGATTTACATCTTTTTGATGATTAGTGATTCAAAAATCAGTAGCATTTCTATATGTCAACAGCAAACAACCTGAAAAAGAAACCCCATTTACAATTGCTATAACACAAATAAAATATCAAGGAATTAGCCAAATAAGTGAAACATCTCTACAATGAAAACTCTAAAATGCCTGTTTTTGCCTGTTTGCCATTTATGTCTTTTTTTTTTTTTTTGAGAAATTAAAATCTTTTGCCCATTTTTAATCAGATTATTACATTTTTTTTTTCTCGTGGAGTTGTTTGAATTCCTTATATATTCTGGTTATTAACCTCTTGTCAGAAAGATAGTTTACAAATATTTTCTCCTATTCTGTGGGTTATCGCTTCATTTTGTTGATAGTTTCCTTTGCTGTGCAGAAGCTTTTTAACTTGATGTGATCCCATTTGTTCACTTTTGCTTTGATTGCCTGTGCTTATAGGTTATTACTGAAGAAATCTTTGCCCAGTCCAATATCCTGGAGAGTTTCTCCAATGTTTTCTTGTATTAGTTTCATAGTTTGAGTTCTTAGATTTAAGTCTTTAAATCATTTTGATTTGATTTTTATATATGGGGAGATATCTGGTCTAGTTTCATTCTTCTGCATATATCCAGTTTTCCAGTTTTCCTGGCACCATTTATTGAAGAGACTATCCTTTCCTCATCGTATGTTCTTGGAGCCCTTGTCAAAAATGAGTTCACTGTAGATGTATGGATTTATTTTGGGGTTCTCTATTCTGTACCATTGGTCTGTTTTTATCCTAACACCGTGCTGTTTTGGTTATAGCTTTATTATGTAGTTTAAAGTCAGATAATGTGATTCCTCCAGTTTTGCACTTTTTACTTAAAATAGCTTTGGCAGTTGAGGATCTTTTGTGGTTCCATATAAATTTTAGGATTGTTTTTTCTATTTCTCTTAAGAATGTCATTGATATTTTGATAGAGATTGCATTGAAATTGTAGATTGCTTTCAGTAGTATGGACATTTTAACAATATTGATTATTCCAATCCATGAAAATGGAATACCTTTTTATTTTTTTGTGTTCTCTTCAATTCCTTGCATCAGTGTTTTATAGTTTTCATTGTAGAGATCTTTCACTTATTTGGCTAATTCCTTGGTATTTTGTTTGTGTTATAGAGATTGTAAATGCGATTTCTTTTTCAGATTGTTTGTGGTTGACATATAGAAATGCTACTGATTTTTGAATGTTGATTTTGTATACTGCAGCTTTACAGAATTTGTTTATCCCTTCTAATAGTTTTTTGGTGGAGTTTTTAGGTTTTTCCAAATGTAAGATTTATCACCTGAAAACAAGGATAATTTGACTTCTTTCTTTCCAAGTTTGATGCCTTTTATATCTTTCTCTTGTCTGATTGCTTTACTTAGGACTTCCAGTACTATACTGAATAACAGTAGTGAAAGTGGGCATCCTTGTCTTGTTCTAGATCTTAAAGGAAAGGCTTTCAATTTTTCCCCATTCAGTATGATACTAGCTGTGGGTCTGTCATATATGACTTTTATAGTGTTGAGGTATGTTCCCTGTATATTCAG